TCATAATAAATAAATTTATAATATTTACATATATTTTTATTTTTATTTAATTTTTATTATAATGAAATATAAATTAAAAAAATCAAAATCAAAATATAATGTTAAAATATTTATTATAAAAATTTTTTATATATATAAATTATAATTTAATTATTTATAATTAATAAATATTAAATATATTATATTATTAATACATAATTTAAATTAGTATAAATTAAATATTTTTAATATATATATTGATTATTTTTTTTATTATTAATGTATTCAATATAATAATTTATTTATACAAATAATAAAAAATCATTAATAAATATATTAAATATAATACTTTAAGAAAAAAACTATAAAATATACCTAAAATAAAATAAATAATAATTACAAAGCATATTTAATAATATCTAAATGAATAATAAACAAAAATAAATAATATAATAAAATAAAATAAAAAATATAAATAATTAAATATATATATATATACATATTAAAATTAATAAAATTAAGTATTATGATAAAAAATAATTAATACATAGATAGTTCATAAGATGGTCCAGAAATAGAAATTCAATTACATTAATAATAAAACGTAGATTCGTCCGATAACAGTGGAGATAAATAATATATTGATGCAAATATAGAATATGAATAATTTATAAAACAACCATATAATGTAAAAAAATAAAAATAAAAATAAAAAAGTAAAAAATAAACAAATAAAAAATAAAAAAGCAGAAATAAAATTGTTTCTAAAAATTTATTTAAAAGTTCAAAAAATAACCAAAAAAAGAAAAAGAACGTTTTATATATTTTGATGGTATTTCTGAACCTAAAAACTATGTTAAAAATCTAGTCAAAAACCAAAAATATAACATATTAACATTTGTTCCATTTGTACTATATAATTAATTTAAGTTTTTTTTTAATTTTTTTTATCTTCTTATATGTATTTCTTAAATTATTCCTGCATTGACTGTAGGTAAAATAATATATTTTAATATATATATATATATATAAATTGATATATATATATATATATATTTATATATTTTTATATTTATATACATTTATATTAAATTTTTTTTTTTTTTATAACATCTATACACAAATATAATTTTTATAGGTTTTTTATTTACTTATGTGGCTCCTCTTGCATTTGTTTTAATTTTAACAATGTTAAAAGATGGTTATGATGATTACAAAAGATATAAAAGAGATAAAGAAGCAAATTCTTCATTATATGATGTAATAGTAAAAGGTAAAATTAAAAAAATAAGAAGTGGTAATTTAAAAACTGGTTAAATAATTCGCGTCGAAACTAAGTAAAGAATTCCTGCAGATTTATTACTTTTAAATACATCAGAGCCTACAGGAACTGTTTTCATAAGAACAGATCAATTAGATGGAGAAACTGATTGGAAAGTCAGAAGGGCAATAAGACATACTTAGAGTAATTTTATTTTTACATATAATAATAATTATAATAAATAGGCATAGTATAATATAATGATGGTCTAAAATTATTTAATTTAGGCAGTTATGTATAAATAAATCCGCCATGTGAAAACATATATGAATTCCAAGGCTTATATAAGAACAATGAAATATAAGAAGGTTTAAATTTAGAAAACACTTTATGGACAAACACAATATTAGCAACTGGAAATATATGGGGATTAGTCCTTTTTACAGGTAAAGAAACTCGAATAGCCATGAATTAATAAAATCCTTAAAGTAAATTTGGAAAATTCGATGAAGAAGTTAATTAGCTTTCAAAAGTACTTTTTTATTTTATGTGTATATTGTCTTTTTTAATGATATTTTTTAATGGTTTTAGTAAATTTTGGTTTATTTAATATTTTAGGTATATATTTCATATATTTTTTTTTTTATATTAATATTATTTTTTTTTTTAATAAAGATATTTATTATTATTAAGTTCAATTATTCCAATATCTTTAAGAGTAAATAATGATTTCGCGAAAAGTTTTTTTTCATATAGAATTTAAAATGATCCTGTTATTAAAGGAACAGTAGCTAGAAATTCAAATATTCCGGAAGAATTAGGCAGAATTTAATATCTTTTAGCAGACAAAACAGGCACTTTAACTCAGAACGACATGATTTTTAAAAAAATTGTTATAAACGAAAAACAATATACAATTGAAGATCTACCTGAAATAAAAAATACTTTAATTAAAATGTGTTAAAAATTCAATTCACCATTGCCTGATATAGAAAATGGAGAAAACCAAGAAAATAAAAAAAATAGACGTAAGAACGAACTTATAATAAGAGATGTTTTCACAGCATTATCAGTATGTCACAATGTAACTCCTGTAATAGAAAATGGAGAAAAAACATACTAAGTAATAATATTATATATATATATATATATATATATATATATATATATTTATATATATATATATATATATAATTATAAATTTTTAGGCATCTAGTCCTGATGAACATGCTTTAGTAAAATTTTCAGAAAGTTTAAATATGCGATTAGAATAAAGAAGTGAGGAATAAATAGTTATTTTAAATGCAAATAATACGTAAGAAACATTCTTAGTACTAGCTATTTTTCCATTTACTTCTGAAACTAAAAGCATGGGAATACTTCTAAGGCATCAACCATCTAGTAAAATAATTTATTATTTAAAAGGTGCGGATACTATTATGATGTAGAAAGTAAATCCTTATTTTAAATCTTTTGTAAATGATGACTGTGATAATTTAGCTAGGGAAGGCTTAAGAACTCTAGTTTTTGCCTAAAAATGCATATCTGAGGAATTTTATGCTATATGGAAAGAAAAATATAAATAAGCACAAGAATCTCTTTAAGATAGAAATTAATAAATTCGAAATATAGCTTCTGAACTCGAAACAAACATGGAATTAATCGGTATTACAGGTGTTGAAGACAAGTTATAAGAAGAAGTTTGCAACACTATCGAAAATCTACGTCAAGGAGGTATTAAAGTATGGATGTTGACCGGTGACAAGGTCGAAACAGCAAAATGTATAGCAGTTAGTGCTGGTTTAAAGAGTGTTAACTAGGAAATATTCGAGATAATTGATTAAACAGACGAAATGGTTTTGAGAGAAATGATCCAGTAATTTTCCCATAAAGCCAACTGTGTCTTATTAATTGATGGAACTTCCCTTTGTAAAATAATATCTTCATGTGATAAGCTTTTTTTCGAAACTGCGACTTAAGCACCTTCTGTAATTTGTTGTAGATGTGCCCCAAAATAAAAAGCTTCAGTAACTGAATGTATAAAAAAATATACAAATAAAAGAGTTTTATGTGTAGGAGATGGTGGAAATGATGTCGGAATGATCTAATGTGCACATGTAGGCGTAGGTATAGTCGGAAAAGAAGGAAAATAAGCTGCATTAGCCTCAGATTTTTCTATATTAGAATTTCGTTATTTAAAATGTCTTCTTTTATGGCATGGAAGAAATTCATATAAAAAAGGTAATAATATATATATATATATATAAAATAAATATTTATATAATATATCTAAAAATATATAAGCAACAACATTAAGTCTATTTGTTATACACAGGGGATTAATTATTAGTATTATTTAAATGATTTTCAGTAGCATTTTTTATTTTGTGGCTATTCCAATATATAATGGAATGCTTATGTTAGGATATGCGACGTTTTATACCAGTTTACCAGTTTTTTGTTTGATTTTTGATGAGGATATTTCATAAGAAATGGCTTTTTAGTATCCATAATTGTATACAACTTTATAGAAAAATAGAAAAATGAATACTAAAACAAGTATTTTATGGATATGGATTAGTATATATTAGGTAATTATAAATATATATATATATATAATAAATTATATATATGTATATATATATATATATATATATATATATATATATATATATATATTTATATATTATATTATTAAACCCTTTTTTATTTTTTTTATATTTGTTTTAATATATATTTTTAATTAAGGGTTCTGCTATTATGTTTTTAGCTGTAACTATGTTCTAAGATACTTTTTTAAGTATTATAACTATTACATTCACAGCTCTTATATTTATTGAATTATTAAATGTTTATTCTTAAGTAAAATTAATTTATATTTTTTCATATTTATAAATTTAAAAGTTACATAAATTACATATGGCAATGATTATTAGTTAATTATTTACTTTTTTAACTTATTTACTTAGTATTTTATTCTTAAATAATTATATTAATACTGAATAAATAACCTCTGAGTTTTTTGTAAAAGTTTTATTAATTTGTGCTGCAACTTGGCTACCTTTACATACTTTTAGAGTAGTTTAATAATATTGTTATCCGAACGAAGAGAAAAAAATTATGAGGTAGGTTATTACTTTGAAGGATTTTATTAGTGTTTTTGTAGGATTTTTAGTCTTTTTTATTCTTTTATTTTTATATTAAAATTGATTTTTTTTTTATAAAACTAATTATAATATTTAATATTAGTTATATATTTGTTTTATTTATATTTATTAAAATAAAACAAAAAAAAGAACAAATATAAAAATAAAAAAGGTAAAATTAATTCAAAAATAAAAAAAAGCAATATAAGATTTTTTTCTAAATAAATAAAAAAAAAAAATTAAAAAAAAAATAATCTCTGTTAAAAAAATGGGAAAAGTCATAAGAGCTTAAAGAAAAGGGCGTGCAAATGGTGTCTTTAAATCTCACAAAAGTGGTAGAATAGCCCCCGCATAATATCGTGTATACGATTATGCTGAAAGATAAGGGTAATTTTTTATTCATTTTAAACACAAAAAATAATAAAAAAATAGTTATATTAGAGGTTGTGTTAGAGAAGTTTTACATGAACCCGGTCGTGGCGCGTAAATAAACATAAATTGAAAAAAAAATATATATAATATAATTATTAAATATATATAGTCCTTTAGTTAAAGTAGATTTTAAAGATCCATACAGATACAAACATAACAAGGAATATTTCATCGCCGCAGAAGGCTAATATTCAGGCCAATATGTATATTGTGGCCTTAAAGCTGGTATATCTGTAGGAAATGTCCTCCCAATAAACAAAATTCCTGAAGGTACCGTAGTATGCAATGTAGAAGAAAAAGTAGGTGACAGAGGTGCATATTCTAGAGCTTCTGGAACATATGCAACAATTATCGGTCATTCAGAAGACGGAAGTAAGACCAGAATCAGATTACCTTCCGGATGTAGAAAAACTATCAATGGAGATTGCAGAGCAACAATTGGTGTTGTCGCCGGAGGTGGTAGAACCGATAAACCAATTTTAAAAGCCGGTAATCAATACCATAAATATGCCAAAAAGAGAAAAAATTGGCCTAAAGTTAGAGGTGTAGCAATGAATCCTGTAGATCATCCTCATGGTGGTGGTAATTAATAACATATTGGTCATCCTTCGACTGTTTCTAAGTAATCTTGTCCTGGGTAGAAAGTTGGTTTAAGAGGAGCTAGAAGAACTGGGCTTATTAGAGGTGGTTAAAAGGAAAAATTAGCAATGAAAAGTGCAGCTGCTGGCGGTGTTTGAGTTTCTTTTTAATTTTGTAGGAAAAGAAAAACTGTTTATCCTTTTTTTTTTTTTATTATTATTATTATTTGGAATGTATAAATTTTATATATGGAATATTTTTTTTATGTTAATTTTTTTTTTCTTTTAATTAAATATATATTTAAACTATATTTTTTCAATAATATATTTATTAATTTATTAATTTATTATAATATTTAATTATATATATATATATATATATATATTTTATTAAAACCCATAAAAATATTATATATTTAATGTGTTTTTACTTATTTTTTTTTTGTCAATAATATTTATTAATATATAAATATAGCTTTCTATGTTATGCATAATATTTAAAAATTAAATATATAAAAAATTGTATATAAAAAAATGATGGTTTGTTAAAGGATTATGAAAATAATATGAAATCAACATATAGGCAATACTGATTTTTTTTTTGTTAATTAAATATAAATACAAATAATTTATTTTAAAAAAACATAATTAAATTGATTTACAAATAAAACTATTTATTATTTATTAAATTTTTTAAAAAAATGAAATTTTAAAATTCTGAATGTTGCTTATTTTTTGAAAATGAAAAAAATAATAATAAAGAATATATTTCATTAGAAGATATAATAATATAACAATAAACCAGAATATAAGAACTTGAAAAATAACTCTAAGAGTATAAAACTCCTTAAATAATCGAATAAGGACAAAATTTAACATTTTACGATTATGAAGAAAATAATTATAATTAAAATAACTATTTAGAATAATTAATATGTTTAAATATAGATAATTTAATACAAAAAAACACATATTAATTATAAGAAAATGAATAAATACAAAATTTAGAAAATGAAAAAAATAGTTTAATTTAATAATTATATTAATAAGAGTTAAAAAACGAACATTTAAATAAAAAATTTAATGATGCTTTTTAGAATTTATAAAAATAATTAATTATTTATGAAGAAAAATTAGAAGTATATGAAATATATATAAAATTTAATTTATATTTATATATATAGTATAAAGAATATGAAGTGAATTTTTTAAATGAAAAAAAGAATATTTATTAAACAAAAATGTAAGAAATTATATAAGTTAGTTTAGACTATAAATAAAAATATGAAGAAATTTTAAAAAAATATGAAGAAAAAGAATAAGATAATTAAAAACTATAATAAGAAAATGAAGAAATATCCTTCATTTTAGAATAAAATGAACATGAATTATTATAATTAAAAGAAAAAATAAATGAACCAATAGATAATATTAATATGGTTTTTAAAATTATATAAAACTATAAAGGAACTCTCTCAGAATTCGATGATAAAATAAACTCTCTTATAGTCAAATAAAAAGATGTTGATCTTTTAAATTAATAATTAATTGTTAAAGATTAAATAATTTAAGAATTATAAAGAATAGACTGATATATATTATAATTTATAAAAAAAAAAAAAATCAAATACATATAAAAATATAATAAATTTTTTTTTTTAATATAAAATATTTTATATTAATAAAAAAAAATTAATATTCCTTTTTTTAAATATAAAATACATTTAAATAAAAGAATATATATTTTATATAAAATTATAATATTTTTTTATATTTAAAGTAATAAATATTATTTAATATATTTTAGATTTATTAATAAAAATATTAAGAAAAATATTTTTTTCAGCTTAAATAACTCTTATAAAATTTAATTTATTTACATGATAATTAATAATATATAATATTTTATTATTTAATTTAATATTAAATTGGCTTATTAAAATAAATAAAATAATAATAATACTTAATACAATATATATATATTAAAAACTAAAATAAAAATCATATTACATATAAATAATAAACTTAAAAAATAAATATTATTCAATTAAGTTTTTTAAACTATATTAATATATTTAAAATGTTCTAAAATAGTATAATATTATTTTCTTTATATATTAAAGACAAGTTTATTTTTAATTTTATAAAAACTATACATTATTTACCAACTTTTAAATAAAAAATCATAATTATTTAAAGGAAAAATAGCACATCATTTAAGTTTAAATTTTATCAAAATAATCAATAAAATAAGCATTTTTAAAATGTATTTAAAAAATAATAAAAAAATAAAGGATTTACGACGACTATTAAAAAAAAAACTATTTGTTTTATTATTAGTTTCATATTTTTCCATTAATATAGATATAAAAGTATTTAAATATATTTTATATATCTGAAATTTATTTTTTAAATAAGTTTTGAATTATTAAATATGAATTATTATGATGAAATATGATATCTATTTTATAAAAGAAATTAAAACTTATATTCTAATAAATATGCATTTTTAAATTAATATTAATTATGTTCATTTGATAAAAAAACAGAATTTCTAATCTCTTTTTAACTAAAAATATCTTATTTTATAATTTTTTTATTTTAAGTTTATTAACAAATATATAATAAATATATATATATATTTGACTGAAAATATTTTTAAATAAAGTTTATATATTTATATCATTAGAAATTTTTTTAGAAATAGAAAATTTATTTTATTAAATGAATATAATATATATATATATTTAAATATAATATAAAATTTTCATTATATTTATATATATTCTTATATGTATAAAAAAAATATAATGTTTTTATTTTATAAAAAAATAAATAAATAATATTAATTTACAAATATATTTTTTAAATAAATTATTTAATATATATATTATTATAAAAATATCTAATTTATATTATATTATTAATTTTAAATATAGTATAATATTTATTTTTTCAAATTAATACACCTAAAAATAAATATAATTTAAATATACAAATATATTTATTTATACTATTATTTTTTTCTATATATAAAATTAATCTTTTTTAAAAAATAATATTTTTTTCATATAAAGATAATTAATATCTTTTATTTTATAATTTCGAATATTTATTTTAAAATATTTATTTATTATATTTTATATATATAATTTATTTTTATATATAACATTATTTATTTTAATTCTATTGAACATTACCATTACATATTTTCTTATAAATATTTAATTATTATTTAAAAAAAAAAAACATTATATATCTTTTTTTCTTTAAACTTAAATATTTTCTTTTTTTTAATATTTTCCTTATTAAAATTAATTCAATTAATATTATTTTTAAAATTATTAAATTTAAATTATTTTAATTAATTAATTCTAAAAAAAATATAAATTTAATAATAAAAAAAATTAGAAAATTTTTATTTGTAAAAATAAATTATAATTATATATTTTTTTTTATTTCTAACAATTTTTTTTTTTTTTTTAAATTATATTCTTATTTTTTTATTTATAAATAATTTCAATTAAAACAAACATGTATTTTAATCCAAAAATAATATGTGTTTTATATATATTAAATAATTCATCTTTAATTTATTATATTTTTACTTAAAGATAATGATATTAAATTTAAGGCTTTTAATATAACCAAACACATTATATAAGATAAACAATTACTAAATTAATAATAATTAATTTTTAAAAAATTACATAAACTATTATTATTAAACTAATTGTATTTGTTTGTTTTTTAAAAATCATATAAAGTTTAAATAAAAATGAAAAAATGTATTTTATATTTTCTAAACAAAAATAATTAATAATATCTAAATATATATTTATTTAAAAAAGATAAATAAATAATTTATATTTAATCAATTAAAATTGTATTTATTTATTTTTTAATTAATAACACAAGTAACACAAGTGATTTATATAATAAAATAAAAAAACTAACTAAAAAATCAAATATTTATTAAATAACTTTACTAAAAATATTTTTTTTCACTAAATTAATATATTATCAATATACTAAAAAAAAAAAATTAAACAGAATAAAAAAAACATGAATTCGATTATAAATAATCCTTCCATATCCACAATAGAAAGAAAAACATCTTAAAATTTATAATTTTTGACTCCTTAATATTAGACTTCCGAACTTGCTTAACATAATAACAATTCTTCATATTTATAAAATCTTTAAAATAACATACCTTGTTTTTAATAACTTTAAAACAATAATGAATCTTCCTATTTATAATAGCATTAAAATAACGAGTCTTCATATTTCTAATAACATTAAATAAATAATGAATCTTCTTTTTAATAATCTGAAAATAACGCTTTTTATTAATAAAATTAGGATAATTCTTCCCTTTTTTAATTCGAGAAATTAAAATCATCTAAATAGACAGATAGTAACAATATAAAAAATAAATAAATAAACTTTTCTTCAGCTTAATAAAGTTCAGAAAGACTTATAAAATAAAAATATAGAAATTCTTCAATATTTAACTAAAATACAGAAAAAAACAACAAATTCATATAATAACAATTATCGTCCAATATAATTGAAAATTCTCATCCTTAAAAAAAACAAAATATTAAAAAAACATCAATATACAGAAATACCCATGATTAGAAAATTCATTTAATTTCCATAATTGAAAATCATGCAAATTAAGTAGGAATTGCTATATATAATAAAGAAACTGGAAAAATCTATATTTCTTAAATAATGGATCGTTTAATGTATATATATACACTTTCCACAATCTAAAAATACTCTCCTTAGGAAATTATAATGTCCAAAACTTAAGAAAATACATAATTATTTCATTTATTAAAATAATCATCTAACTTATTTATTCTAAAACTTATAAAAAGAAACTTTTTTGATGAAACTAAAGGGGAATAAATATACTTTTAATCCTAAAAAAATCTACCTTTTTATTCCAATTTTTCCCTTAATTCACTTTATGTAGCTTTCGCGGCTTTAAATGCATTACTATAATGGGCAGAAATGAGCCTAAATATAGTATTCAATAAAGAAATACTTTAAATAGAGATATTTTAGGTAGATGAAATTCTAGTAACGCATCCCTAAACTATATTAGATTTAGAAATATTATCAGAGAATGATGAAAAAAAGTCCCTTTTATCACTTTTTAATTGCTAGACTGTCGGAGGGAAAAGACTTTTGAGGTCTAATATGCTTTAGGCTTTTAATAAAATAGAAAAAATAAAAGAAAGGTAGAATTTAGTTAGATTTTTAGTAAAAAATAAAG